GAACTTTCTTGTTTCCCAATCATAATAACTTATCAAATACTTGGGAATCCTTAACTGAAAACATTACACTAATATGCTGTTGCACCAAAATGGCAAATAAATGAGGCTGCTATCAGGGAAGATTTGAAAAAGAGAACAAATAATACTTGTGAATGTTTATAAGGCTTTTGTGTCCATATGTCATATTGGTATAACTGATGTTCCCAAAATTTGGGTAGACAAGAAAAAGATCAAAATACAGATGAATGAAATGGTTCCTGAAATTTTAATTATAATAGGTTGAAAAGATGGAGACATTCCAGTCCAGTATGGGAAAAGGAATTAGATTGTAAACTTCACTAACTGAATTGTACAAAATTATAGTCAATGTGGAGAAGGTGAATTAAAAAATAGGATAGCATATATTAACACAAAGAGAAATGACCATCTTTGAATTTAAGAGTGATAAATATCAGAATATCAGTAAAAATGACAGAGGGGGATGCATTTCTAGAACACCCACTTGTATGTTATAAATGCAGATGGATTCAAGAAGGGTTTGAACACTCACTCACACCCAAGGGACTCTACTGAAAAGGTTGTTCATGAATATAACTAGGAGAGTAAGTATGTCAAGTGGTATGTCTTTTAAAACAATTGGTAACAGGACCCTGGTCTGAGTGGTTTTAATTAAGAGGTTCCTTTGTTACAAAGAAATGTACCACTTTACTAAGAATAGGATCATGCTGATGCCCAAAGCCAGACTCATAACACATATATTAATTATATTAATTCAGCACATCTACTCACCAAACTAGACGAGATTTTAGATCTGCTATAGTTCTAAAAATTGTTGCTAAATTTGTCCCTGAGACACCTTCACATCTGACTGTTTAGTGAAGCAGGGGACTCTGGCTTATTCATAAATCATAATGTAGCTAAGTAGCTGTTTTGTGTCCTCATTATTGAACATTCCATTCAATGCCAGATCAGAAACTTTCTAAATTGAATTTTTAGGGCATGAAGATTTCCTACTGTACATTGGAAGGCATCCTTTTAAGATTCTCATTCTGAAGTGAACTTTCTAAAATAAAATATATCTCCTATTATTGTTAGGTGCCATTGTGTTGGTTCTGACTCATAGTGACCACATGTACAAGAGAACAAAAACACTGCCTGGTCGTAAGCCATCTTCAAAATCCTTGCTATGTTGAAACCCGTCATTGCAGCCACTGTGTCAATCCAACTAACTGAGGATCTATCCTTTTTCATCGATCCTCTACTTTACCAAGTATGATGTCTTTTTCCAGTGACTGGACCCTTCTGACAACATGACCAAAGTATGTGAGATGAAATCTGCCCATTTTCATTTTTAAAAAGCATTCCAGCTTTACTTCTTCCAAGACAGATTTGTTCATTCTTCTGGCAGTCCATGGTATTTTCTATATTCTTCTCCAACACCACAATTCAAATTCATCTCCTTTGTTCTTCCATATTCCTTGTCCAGCTTTCACATGTATATGAGGATATTGAAAATACCATGGCATGGTTCAGGCCAAAAGAGAAGAACATGCTTGGCAATTCGCAAGCTGAAAGAATCAAAGAAAAAATTAAAGCCTCAAGTTGCAAAATTAAAGGATTCTGTGGGCAAAATATTGAACGATGGAAAAAGCATCAAAACAAGATGGAAGGAATATGGTGACTGCACCAAAAATAATTATTTGACATTCAAACATTTAGAGAAGTAACATAGATCAAGATACCTCTTGATTAGCTGTAAATTGATGCCCATATGAAGTTTGTGCTATGTTTGTATTCTTTGGTAAATCATTACCCATGCTGTATCATCTAAAAATTGAGGATTTTCAAAAAGTCCAGGTGAAAATCTGCACTCAAAAGATTCTCAATTCCCTTGAAATGCCATCATTAATTAAGTCTATACTTCATATTGATGTTTGTAAGTATTGACTTTTTCCAAAAAGTCACATATAACAATTTAGAGCCTTTTTTATAAAAACCTCTTGGTTGCTATTGCTCTCATCTTGTGAACAAGATTTAGCTCTTGTGAATCCATCATCTGACTTTTAATTTTAAATTTCAAATAAAAAGAAAAACTTTCAAGGTATTCTGTATTATCCAACAGCATAATCTGGTAAAACTAGCTACAAGTCAGATTTTACATATTTCCTTGAATTATTTGGTCAAACACCCTGAATCTCTTGTTGGTATAAATTCCTGAAAGCCTGCACAGTTTTAGCAAGTATGAGCACTATTTTTAGCATATGTAAATACAGTTATGTGCTATCGATGCTTTGTCTCTTTTACATTTTAGCAACACATGAGTTAAACAATCAGGTTTATTATCAAAGACTGGACCTGACAAAATCAATTTTTAAAGCTAGATAAGGAAATGATTTTTCTGAAAATTAACAAAAGCAAATGTGGTAAAAGAGAAATAGAAAGCCCAGTTTGCAATCAAGCATGTTGGGTATGAATCGTAGTTTTTAACTGTAGTGCCATCAATTTCTGATTGTATGACCTTGAATCTGTTTCTGTGATCCTAAGTCTCTCATTTACAGGGACGTTAGTACCTAATCATTGCAGACAGTCAGGTAGTTAATTATAATACCCATTTTATAGAATTTCATTTTGTATACAAATGTAGTGTGTAGTAGGTGTTAAGTAGCTGTTAATGCCCTCAGTGTTAATATAAGTGGACACAGGTTTTGTCCAGATTCACCTAGTTAATGCACACCATTGATCATAGTGCTCCTGCTAAATATTATTATATTTTAGTCTTTAAAATGGAAGTTGTAACAATGCCTCCTTTTATCATTCCTCTGCTGAGCACTAGCAGTCACAGTTCAGTCCTGAAGTTGCCACCTCTCCCACATGCCCTGAGATAGTTATATCTCTAGTGAACTGTAGCTGGGATGCTTTTCCTTTCTGTACTTGGTAGTCCCTGTCTCTTTGTGCCCTCCCACCTAGCATTTTTTACTGCCCCTGCCATCATTGACAAGGTGTTTTGGAGGATGATATAGGGGTCAGGAATCTAATCCCTGAATTCTGGAAGCCTTAGACATTCTGTAGTTCTATGAATAGCCATCCAAAAATTCACTCCTGCTTAATCCAGGTCTGTTAGATACAGGGCTACAAAGATTTACAAAACAGGTCCCTGCCCTGCCTTGAAGGGGCTTGGGTTATTTATAAACACAAGTAAGTCCACAAGAGCAAAGAAGTGAAATAAGCCTTGGGGCAGCTGCTCCCAAGCCTAGTAAGATTGCTTTACATCCTGATCCAGAAGTAGGCTAAAAGCAGGTGATTAGGTGCTAAAGATAATAAAACCTCTTTTTTTTTTTTTTTTTTTAAGTAGTAAAACTAACTCCAAGCTTCAGTTTCAATCTGAAGAAAACAAACAAACAAAAATCTGGCCCTGACTGAAAATGCCAAAGAAACAAATAATCCTTCTGAAATCAATAAAAAACCTTAAAATTGTTCTTCAAAATGTAATGTGTGTATATTTCTCAATTTACACTAAAAACATCAAAAAAAAAAAAAAGAATTAACTATAAGAATGTATGAATGTGTAAAAATTGAGAAAAAATAGAATGATGTGCAAAAGATTACTTTTCAAATGAAAGAAACCCATACTCTCTAAGAATATTACAACTTAATTTTGCAAACAACCCAGAATAAAGATGATAATAATATTGTCAAGATTCACTCTGCCATATCTAATTTTGTTCTTTAATTTACTGTTATTTTCAAGTAGAAACCCAAGTAATGTGTAGGCAATTAACAAATAAAAATGAATATGAAATATAAGTATATGTATTTTTTTTTCAATTGAATGGGGAACACAGAAAAATAAATGCATAAATGAGCAATTTGAAATCCTAATTGACATTGATATAAAGGGGGAGGTATCTAGAGAGATTCTGAGAGGAAAGACAGTGCTATCAATTGCCAAATCATCACATTTTATGTTCATTTAGAAGGAAAAAACTGTTTGGTGATGTTTCTTCTAAACTAAAATCTATATAAATGAATAAACTCTTTTATTGTATGCGTGTATTTCTAAAGTAATCTCCAGGTTACTTGCTACCTGGTTCTTTTCTCTCTCCTCATCTAGCTGTTTACTGAACAGCATTTCACCTACAAAGTGAGGACAAGATTTGGGTCTTGGGGTTGGAAGGGAAAGTTCATTTTTATAGTTGGAGTTAATTGTCCTTCACTTTGAAGCCAAATAAATTTTTTAATGCTAGAATAATTCTAAATCTTTTACTTATTTTGTATTGTTCAAGTTTCAATTGTTTTCAAATCTTAGAAAGATACTGTTCAACACAGTGGCATCAGAGTTAAAGTACAAATTCCTATACCAAGATTCATAAATTGGATGACCTCGGTCCTGTTATATAATTTATCTAGTTTGATTGTTGTAAGGTTTGTAAGTGCCAGAAAGTAACAAAGAAAGAAGTAAATAAAACCCAATGCCATAAAGTTGATTCTGACGCATAGTGACCCTACAGGACAGAGCAGAACTGCCCTGTACAGTTTCTAAGGCTATAATCTTTACAGAAACAGCCTGCCTCATCTTTCTCCTATGGAGAGATTGGTAGATTCAAACTGCCGACATCTTGGTTGGCAAACAAATGCTTGAACCACTGCACCCCCAGAACCCCTTAAAAAATAAATAATACTAAGAAAATATAGATATTCTCATTAACAATTAGACTCTTGTGGTGCATTTATCTATTTTTATAGATGAAGAAACTTAGTGAATTATCCTAGCTACCAAAAAAGGAGGAAAACACTAAACTCTTTACAGCAGACACTCTAATTTCCCATGGAACTGGGAGCATGTTGGAGATTGCCTTTTTATATGGTTTAATTATTTCTGAATGGACACTTAACAGTTATTAAGCTACCAACAATCTGGACATAGGCACATGACAGGAGTATTCACTGGTTAACAAGATCACATTTCTGCTTTATTCATGAGAAGAGAAATAATGTCCTACCCAGATGCTGTCCTCTTGCTTGTACTGTTTCCAGTTGTGTCCTGTGTCACTGAACATCAGACTGTAACTTGTCACCCAGTCAGAGCTTCCGTACCTTCCCTGTGTGGCCACAGCAGTAATTTCCACTCGGTTTCCCAGATCCATCTGGAGCCACTGTTGAGCATTAGAATCTGCTGGAGACCAACCACCAGCTCCTGAAAAAATATCAGAGAGAAACAGAATTGTAGTAAGTAATAGCTCACAAAGCTACAACTTTCAACTGTCAAAGGGAAATTGAAAGAGAAATAAACCAGTGTCCAACTAAGTTGTCTTTGCCCCAAAATATGCCCCACATTTTCCTTCTTCTGTTTAATTATTTGGTACTTTATTTGACACAGAATTTACATCCTCTCCTCCTTTATGAAAGAAAATTTACATAATTCTCCTTTATGGCTTAGAATTCATCTCAAATATTATTTCCACTATGATTCTTTCCATCTTTCCTTGATCATTATGGTTTCCATTTTGTGAATTCCTAGAGGATTTTGCTTTATTCTACTTTATTTTTTAAAAGCTTAACCTTTGAATATAGATACATATGGACATTTTTTCTATGCTCTGTTTGAGTAATAACTCCCTTCTTTCCTTCCTCCCTCTCTCCTTTCCTTCCTTACTCTCTTTTCTTTTCTCCTTATCTTTCTCCAAATACATACCATGAACCCTATATGTGAACAATATTTAGCTGTAAATGCACAGATGAAGGAACATGACCAGACTTTTGAGGGAATAGCATTAACCTATTCAAAACATGTTTACCCAGCACCAAAAACATGCTGGATGCTAAAGAGAGAGAAATATGCAAATAAAAATATGATTTGCTGTATGATATGAAAGAACACTTAAGGGAGGTAAACAGGGAGAACAGGAGCACAGAGGACCAAGTGCCTTGACAGATGTAGTAAAAATATGAAGCAAGTATAGGCATTTCCCAGGAATACAAGGATGAAGTTAGGTAGAAAGCAAGGAGGGCAGATAGGACAGCATACCTAAAATCTCAAAGGAACATGAGAGTCTGACGTGTTCTCAGATCTACATGTGATTTGATATATTTTGGCATACTATTATTCTAGCAGGGAGCTCTGGTAGCATAGGGGCTAAGGCACTTGACTGCTCACCAGATGGTTGGCGGTTCAAACCCATCAGCCACTCCTCGGAAGGAAGGTTGGGCAATCCTACTTCCGTAGTGATATTGCCTCGGAAACCCAAGGAGGGGTCGCTATGAGTCAGGGCTGACTCGATGGCACATAACAACAACAACAACAACATTATTCTAGCATGATCAAAAAAAAAAAAAAAGTCTTTGGTCCCAGAATTCCATTATTTTCCACAATTTATTTGCAGAAGATAAATATTAGCTCTTGCTTAGGTGGTAGGCATGGGCTTAAGTTTATTGTTTTTATTTCATATAGGAACAAAGAAGTAATATTCACTTCTACTGATCCTAGAGTTCAGTTCAATTGACTCTGAGTGGAGGTGCTACAGAATGTTTATGCTAAGGACAGAGATGGTATGAAAGCTGGCCCTTCATTAACTGCCTTCCTCGGGGCATCAAGTTGGGAGTTAATTTGAGTTAATCAATAACTCTTGTTTTTATATTAAGCTACATCACCGAAATTCATTCTAATAATGAATTAGTCTACTTTTCTATCATCTTCACTCACTGCAATCAACTCAATTCCGACTCATAGTGACCCCCATTGTGTTTCCAAAGCTGTAAATCTTTATGGAAGTTTCTTGCCTCATCTTCCTCCATGGAGCAGCTGGTGAGTTTGATCCACTAAACTTTTGGTTAGCAGCCAAATACCTTACCTACTATGCCATCAGAGCTCCTTTGTCTATCCTCTTAAGAGGAGTCAATTGGGTCACTCCCTGGTAACTGGACATTTTCCAGAGCTTTGGCTCAACTGTAAAGATAATCTCCCATAGTATTGGACTATGGTTAATTTTCTAAATTAATAGTTGTTATTGTAAGTTTCTGTCAAGTCAGGTCTAACTCATGGTGACCCCATGTGTGAAGAGTAGAATTGTCCTATAGTTTTCATGGTTGTACCTTTTTGGAAGCAGATTGCTAGGCCTTACTTCTGAGGTATTTCTGGGTAAGTTTGAATCACCAGTCTTTTCAGCTAGTATACCATTTGTTCCACCTGCTATGTAGCTATGTGCCGTCGAGTCGGACCCAACTCATAGCGACCCCTCCTTGGGTTTCTGAGGCAGTATAACTACGGAAGTAGATTGCCCCATCTTCCTTCCAAGGAGTGGCTGGTGGGTTTGAACTGCCAGGCTTCTGGTTAGCAGTCAAGTGCCTTAGACACTACGCTATTGTTCTACCTAGGGATTCCTAAATAGCTAGTACTTGTTTTTGTTTGATAAAATTGCTTATCCCCTTGAGGAGATTCAAATGCAGAGAAAGGAATGTGCTATCTACTGTGGAAGAGCTTTTGTTAAGTGTTTCACATATATCTAATCATTATGATTACAGCTGCAGATACCACTGGCTATTCACTAACATTTATTCCCTCTTCCTTCTGGAGTAATAAAAGTGCAGTGAGTTCATGGCCTAATTGCATTTCTCAGCTTTCCTTAATCTTATAGACATGGCAAAATGTCCATATGTTTATAACAAAAATATGAGGAGAAATTAGAAGTGTTTATTCTAGGTAAGCATGCCTCTTCCTCATTAGCTTTGTCCTATAATCAGTGATAGATGCAGGGCCCTGGATTATAGCAGCCACTACATGGAAAAATTCTGGGTGGCTGGACCATCATGTGGAGGAAAGCACTTCTTCTCCTTGAACACTGACCCGGAACTATAACATGAATAAGAAATAAACACTTACTGTGTTTACACTAGTGACCACTGGAGTCTATTTGTTATTGCAGTTTAGCCTACTTTAACACAAATATTATTGAGGAAACTGAGATCATTAATTAGAATGAATTCTAAATTAGAAAAAATTTAGCAAATTTAGGAAACCAAGCAACCAGTATTCAACCATAGTATGAGCAAGTACAGTTATTTGAGAATATTTTATAATAACCACAAAAAAGAAAACAGTGAAAAATGAGGTATATGGAGTGGTTAAAAGCCAACTGAAAAAGTGTGAGATTTTGAATTAATGCAAGTAGCATTTTGATCAGAGCAGTCTTTCTTCTGCCACCCTCCCATTTTTTTTTTTTCTTTCCATGTATATATATGGAGCTCTGGTGGCGTAGTGCATAAGGCATTTGACTGCTAGCCAGAAGGTTGGAGATTCAAACCCATCAGACACGCTGTGGAAGGAAGCATGAGCAATCTACTTCTGTAAAGATTCTCTGCCTTGGAAACCCAAAGGGGTTCATTATGAGTCAGAATCAACTTGATGACAGTGAGTTTGGTTTGGTTTTATATATATATATATATATATATATATATATATATATATAAAATTCCCCCTCAGCAGTCATGAGCTAGTGACATTACCCAGCCATGCCTACCACAGCTGTCACCCCAGCCACTGGATGAGTGCAACCACTTGCTCTAGATGCTTGTTCACTAGATGTATAACAGTTGGCAGACAACACCCACCCAGTCTTCTCTCAGCTGCTCTTTTAATGATCAGTGATCACAGACTTGTGCTTACAGTCCCACCAGCTACCAAATCCACTTGGAGACAAGGGTGAGTGTCCAAGTGCTGCCAAACTAATGCTAGAGAGCCCACCTGACCCATTATCCAGATATATTAAAACAAAATAAAACACAAATCAGAGTGAAACAAACAAACATGCAATCAACAAACTAATAAAATAAGACTCAAAGTCTTGGCAACAGCAAATAACTTCAAATCCAAACAACAAAATAATAATAATAATAAATATATAAAATAATAAGAATAAAGGACAAACAGATCAAACAAATGAATAAATTGCATGTCAGAAAATATTCTAGGGGTAGTAATGGCACAGGAACTATGTGATAAGTAACTCAAAAGATCTCTATTTAGATTAATTCTGCATTTAAGAAGAGATCAAGAAAACCACAGAAAAAAATAAAAGAAAACATAAACAAAATTCTAGAAGAATTCAGCAAAACAATACATGAACAAATTGACTAAACCAATGGAAAATAGCAAACAGTACAAAGAGAGCAAATAATAATCCAGAAGTTTAATACTAAAATTTAAGAAATAACACATCAAAGGACAAAGGAGTAAAACTGAATCAAGTGAAGACAGAATTAAAGAAATTGATGACAAATCTCTTAATATTAATCTGTTAGAGGAATAATCATGAAAAAACAAAGAAAGAAAAAAATGAAGAAAGCCTAAGAATTACGTGAGACACCATCAAGAGGAATGACATACATATGATCAGATTTCCAAAATAGGAAGATACCAAAAAAAATAAAAAAAAAAAAAGAAGAAGAAAATTGTTGCAGTTTTGTTAGGAAAAAACCTTCCCTAATAGCATGAAAGATCAGAAGGTAGTTATTTAAGAAGCTCAATCAACCTCAAATTGGATACATGGTCAAAAGAAACTCACTAAAATATATCATAATCAAACTTTGTAAAACCAAACACAAAGAAAGAATTCTTAAAGGAGCTCCAGAGTTCTGGCAAGATGGAGGAATAAGTAGACAAGCTACATAGATCCTATGCAATAAAGCAATGACAACCCAATTGAAACCAATACAGAAGAATATCTTAGAATCTTGAGCTTTGAAGGAAAGGATAAAGAAATAGATAAGAAGAAGATCATGAATGAAACACTGAGTTAGGAGACAAACGGAGCTATGGACTGCCAGCTGTCCTGAGGGCACAGCCATTTTGAATACTTCCTGATAGCAATCTAAGAATTGGCACTGCTCACCAAGGATGCATGGACAAGGACTGAATTGGTGCCTGACGGCAAGAAGAGAGAACAGTGAGGAAGGGTACAGGCAGAACTGTGGACTTCCGGCAGCTGTCTTGAAGGTGCAGCCACTTTGGATTTTGCAAGTGGCTGGTGCAGCCATATTCACTGTGTGTGGGTTGTGTTCTTGCTTGTACTGAGACCTGGGAGTGGGCGCTGCCTGCTGAGGACAGGCATGGGCAACTGCACTGGAGACTGGAGACAAGAGATAACACCATTGTTAATCTTGTGTGCTATGCTCTTTTAGCATAGGTACTGAAACAAGGCG